AATTGGTGACCCCGGATACGAACAGTAAGTAAAAAAAAAAAAAAAAAAAGCAATAAACATACGTATATAGTTCCTTGCAAAATTGTTCCTATAGTAAATATTACATAGAAAAAATGGAGAAAGTTATTTTCAGCCAGCAAGCCATTGGGAGTGAGATTGAGGGTTTACATAACGCGTTAGTAAACATCAACTCGACTCCTGTGACTAGGGGACAGGTCGATGATTGGACACTGCGAGTAACTCACCTGTCCCGAATGCTGGAAGACAACGATCGGCAACTTGGGGAACCGTCGGCAACGATGTCGCGGAACCCATACTATACCGAAAGGTATGCCCCTAAGGTTAGGGAACTCATAAAAAAATGCATGGAGATGTTAAAATCCATGCCAATAAAAAGCGTTCAAAGCGAGGACGAGTTCTTCAAAGACGATCGGAACAAAAATTCTGTACTAAAAATAAAGTTTGAATTCGCAATAAGCGATTGGGAAGAAAACTTTGAAGCACTTCTTGCTGGAACAGGGAATCCAGAAGAAGTAAATAAGTGTTCAAATCTGGCGAAAGATTTGTTTTTGCAATATCTTGAAGTTCATTCGGAGGATGAACTAACATACAAGTTTAGGCAGTTGAGGAAAGAATTAAACTCACTACCGAAAAGTAACACTCCTGAAAAAAAAGGGGAAGAGAAAATAAGAGTAAGAACTTTTAATCTCCCTCAAATTGAAATTCCAAGCTTCTATGGGGATTATACGAAATGGAATATGTTCAAAGAACTATTTCATGAATTAGTGGATGCCGAAAACATATCTACAGTGCAAAAAATGTGCATATTAAAATCTAAATTGAAAGGATATGCGGCAACAATAATAGAAAATCTTCCAGCTTCAGAAGAAAATTATTCAGTAGCATGGAAATTGCTAAAAGAAAGTTTTGATAATAAAAGGGCCATCACTAATATTTACTTTAAAAATTTGGTAGATGCACCATTTACAAATTCAGCTGCTAATAGTGTAAAAAAATTAAAGGAAGTTATCGAAGAAAGCGTGCAAGCGTTAAAAGCAACTAAATTGTCAGTAGAAGAAATCCTCCAAGCATTACTTAATTTTTTGCTTGTAAGAAAGCTAGATGACTCGCTGAGAATGGAATATGAATCCTCTTTAAAAGATTCTAGAGAATTGCCGAGACTAGATTCATTATTACAATTTCTCGGAAAAGAGTTCTTTGCATTAGAAGCAAAAGAAAATGCATTCGGAATGAAGAAAATCGAGAAAAATATTAAAAAAAGTAATGCTACAGTGGAAACAAAATGTGCAATGGATTGCGGAATGCCGCACTATTTAAATCAGTGTACAAAATTTCAAAATTTATCCATAAAAGAAAGGTGGATGATCATAAGAAATAAAAATTTGTGTAAAAAATGTCTGAATGGTGGACAGGCATTCAAAAATTGTAACTTCAGAAACTGCCGCTTTTGCAATTTAGAGCATCATTGGATGCTCCACAGAGACACAAACGCGGTTGCTAGTACAGTGAACAGTGAAAATTTAAATAAAAATAAATATGTGCTTTTATCCACAGCCATAATTAAAATAAACAATTCCGAAGGAAAATTCATAAACGCAAGGGCATTGGTAGACAATGGATCCCAAGTGAATTTAATCACAAAGCAATTAAAAAATAAACTAAAATTAAAAAGTGAAAATAGAAAAACCACTATAGAAGGTATTGGGCAAAATATTTCCAATATACAGGAGCGAGTGGTTATAGAAATTAAATCAAAAGTAACAGAATACCAAACACATATTGAAGCACTCGTGGTAGAAAAAATTATTTCACAGCTGCCATCTACTAAAATAGAAAGTGGAGAACTACCTAATAGAATAAAATTGGCTGACCCGAAATTTGATACTCCAAGCAAAATTGACGCATTACTTGGAGCAGAAATTTATCATTGTTTACTAAAACGTGGCCAAATAAAAATAAAAAATCAAGAGTACAGTTTCCAAAACAGTGCATTAGGATGGTTGGCTGGAGGAAAAGCAGATATAAAATTATCTCCCAGTCATTGTGGAGTGCTAACTTATAACAGTGAAAATTTGGATAACCAGTTAAGGAAGTTTTGGGAACTTGAAGAAATAGATACTCAGAAAAAATATTTAACAAAGGACGAAAAAAATTGTGAAAGTCATTTTAATGAAAATACAAAGCATTCAAAAGATAATAAATTTTGCGTGGCGCTTCCATTTAAGAATGATCCAAATAAATTAGGAAATTCTGAAATCATTGCTAAGCAACGATTTTTTGCATTAGAAAGAAAATTAGACAAAAATATTTTATTGAAAAATCAATATAAAGAATTTATGGATGAATATATTAATTTAGGTCATATGGCATTAGCAAACGATGTCGACCAGTTGAAGCAAAAATATTTTCTACCTCATCATTGCGTATTGAGGCCAGAGAGTAGTTCGAACTAAGTTACGTGTTGTTGAATCTTGTATTTATTCATCTACATATATACAAACAGATGTGCTATGCATATTGTGTATGTAACTAAAATCATTCAAGTGTTTGTCTGGAAGAGCGCAAAGGTCACAGTATATGGACTTTGCATCTGAAGTAATCTTGTACTTACACACACGCACTTGACATTTTATGTTATGTACATAAACGCATAGCCGTAGATTATGCACCCAAGCAATACTGCGATAGTTATCAGTAACAAATAGAAATGTAAATACATATATATATATAAAGAAATATACACATACATAAACATACATACATGTAACCTAGAATTAAGAATTGTATTATAAATAAACGCTCCACAGAATGTGGAGTCAGTTACATTTTACCGCAGTGAGAAGCATTTCGCGAGAGTTTTGGCCGTTCACCTAGTCTGGTCTGAGCTTTTGTGGAGATGAAACTCCGTTCTGACCCTTGGTCTATGAGTGCTCTTAGTTTGAAGAGCTCACCTCTTTGCAGTAGGGAGAAGCATTTTGCTTTCATTCTCCGAATAAAAGGACTGCACTCTCGTTCTATTCGAAATCGAAGGGGCTTCTTCTTGTTCTCCATCTGGAGTTTGAAGGTTGAACTGTGTCGATGCTATCATTGCGACCTGAGATGAGGTTTTTTGTTGCTGCTGTCTTTTCGGCGTAGAGTTAGGGGTTTCGTGAAGTGGCGTATTATGTCGTTCATGACAATGGAAACAAGTCTGGGTACTTGCGCAGTCTTTTATTAGATGGGATTGAGAGAAGCAGTTAAAGCATATTTTGTGTTCTCTAATAAATTGTCTGCGCTCCTGAGTTGATATTTTGCGAAATTTTGGGCAGCCCCACAGCGAATGTCCCGAATGTTTACACATTGGACATTTGTGCATTGTTCACTGCTGTCATGTGAGCTTGGACATGGGATAGAGACCTATTCTGAGGGGTTTGAGGAGTTTTAAATTAATGTATGCTTTGATATGTAAGGGGTTTGTAATAATTATTTGACTGAGGTATGGGTTTTGGTTTGGGAGGCCGCCATTGATCAACCCTTTCCACAACCTCATAGCGAGTGGTTAAGAACTGGTCTTTTCTTGAACTGAGAGATTTTTCCCATAAAGACACTGTGTTTTCTGGGAGTTTAGAGGTGACGATGTATATGAGGATCGGATCCCAGCTTTCGGTTGAGACCTGCTGAGTGGCGAGGATTTGGAGGCAATTGTTAACAGAAGATTGTAATCTCTGTATGTCCTCGCTATTTTCCGTATTGATAGGTTTGAGGTTCATGAGAATGCGGATCTGGTTGTCTACGAGAACTTGCTTATTCTCGTACCGAGACGTAAGGGCTTCCCACGCTTAATTAAAACTATCGTCAGTCAGAGGAAATTGCCTTACTATTTCACCAGCTTTACCTTGGGTTTTATACCTGAGATGATACAGTTTCTGTCCTTGAGTGAGTTCTGGGTGGTTGATGTAGACCGCCGTAAACATGTCACGGAAAGACGGCCATTGCTCATAACCCCCATAAAACATCTCTCTTCCACTCTCTTTAGGTTGAGCTGCAGTTGGAGGGGGTGCGGGATTATTGGCTGGCTTCATAAGTTGCAACTGGTCTGCTATCTGGGCCTTTGTGTCTTCGTAGGTTATTCGACATGACCTATACTTGTTATAGGAGGAGGCTCTAAAGTCTTCGGGAAGGTCATTTTCGTCGGTCCCAACAATTACGTCGTAGGTATCTTGAACGCGATCCCAAAACTGGTCTATGTTTTTATCATTGACGTTCAAGGTAGACTCAGTATTGTTTTGGATCGGGGTTGTTCTGAAGCGAGAGCAGTAGTCCATGAAATTGTCCGTCTCCGCAATAAACTTTGCTGAAAGGTTCGGTTGTTTGGGGTTTTTTGTGGAACGCCGTTTGCCGAACGCGTTGGTCTATGAGAATCGGTGGAAGAAACTTGCATTTTCTCTTCTGCGCTCATTTTGGGGCTATTTTTGGTGTCGCTTTCGGGTACGTTTAACATTCACGAGTACTTTAGTTAAAGTGGGAGTGGAGATTAAAAAAAACCTTTGAGCCGAAGGAAGAGTTGATTGAATTAGGGGGACTGAAATTTCTATAGTAACAGTGATCGAGAGGAAATTAGTAGCCTCTGCTCGCTTAATTTGACGAGGTAAATCAAACTTTAATTATTTTGAGACCGCACTGAACCAATCTTGTACCACTGTTTCTGCTTTTAGTATATACATGTATGTGTATATACCATTGAATTTAGTACCGTACCGCACTTGAAATTTTGTAAGTATGTATGTAAGTATAGGTGTATGTATAAGCAAATTTAGAGATCAATTTACATATATGAGTATTTGTGTTAGTATGCAAGTTAACACAGTCAATATTCTCTGTTCACAAAAATGCAGAAACAGCAAATTCACATTTTGTGCGAACGGAAGTGATCGCGACAAAATGTGAAGAACTCTTTTATTAATTTACT